AAAAGAAAACGGCAACTGTATTTTAGTTTTTTGTACATTTTCTGAGATAAAAACTAAATGCCCATTAGGGAAAGATATCTACAAAACTAGCCAAGTGAAGTGAGTACTACAAACCTGTCGAGCCTGCAGCTGGCGCATGTTGACTAGCTTGGTGCCATCGGGTAGCTGGCGTACCATTCCAGAGCTGTCGAGGGGAGAAAAATTGTATAGAAGTCGGCCGAAATTAATTAAACCACATACCTTGCCAACGATGCGGGTATTTTTTGTAGAGACTTTGTTTGATTGTCTGATCCGCAGAGCTTCTTGAAATCAGTCAACGAGATTATGCGTATATTCTGTAAATAATAAATAGATTTTACTGTAGAAATGTGCGAGAAAAAATACCAAAATAAATACCTTGTTCTTGGTAACCCCCGCTGGAGACGGAAGATCCTTTTGCTTAATGACATTCATGCGAATCTTCTGGGGAGGAGAGTTATTCACACATATCAAACATGTCGTACTTCACGCATTTCATCGTGTATTTTTAAAAAAACACTTTTTAAATCCTAAGTCCAGTGGGGGACTGTCGAACTGTACTGAACAAATATTTTGAGTGTTTTATTTCTGGGAGGCGATTTATATTATTTTCCCATGAACAGCCAATTATCTCTGTGGATGAAAACAAAAATTAAATCAGTCCCGGCAGGAGTGGGCGTAAAGTAAATAAAAGCTGGATTTAGTGTGGAATCTTCTCTTAAACAGGACCTGGCATACGCAGCTTAGGTAAAATATGTCAAGTCATTTCTTCCGCACGGGTGAGGGAAAAGGCAGACCAATTGATTCCTTATCAATAAATTTTAATAATCAATTACTCGACCATCTGCGGGCAGCAGCAGCAAAGCGCTTATTGCAATTGCTGCTACATGGGTGGTGGCTGCGCACAACACAGTTCGAGGATCTTCCCGAACTCAGAACAAGATGGATTAATGAAGGCAGTTCTCCTTATTTTTGGGTGTGCGCACGCAGCAGAGCAAAGGCCTGCTCCCGGTGTGCAGAGGGTTTGCTTAGGGCACGCAAGGGATGTGCGTGTCATCGGACGCGGGAGCGCCCTATGGTGAGCCCGAAATCGAATACCTGGCCTGCACGTGGTAAACACACCCCGTGACACATCCCGCGGCACGCACATAGGTCGGACTCACAGACCATGTCCTATTTGGGTCATGTTCGAAAAGAGACCAGTCAGATGGCGTAATTTCACATGGGTCCATTATTTACACTATAGACCCGTATTAAAGGAGCATGTCAGACCTCTGACTTTTTAAATGCTTTCTAACGCTTTGGTAAATCAGTCATCAAGGGCGGAAAAACCCGAGTTTAAAAGGCTTCCGCATTTCCTGCGTTTGATATCCTGTGTACATTACATCCACTTGAAACCCTTCATAAATCTAAAAGAAAATTTACCCAAATACCCAATATGAGTCTTGATACCCAGATTATGTCTTGACTTTGTCTTTCAATGCGGCAACCACCCGAAGTTGAACGGAAGCGACATTTCCATAGAGCTCTAATGGCTTTGCTTGACAGACAAGGATCGGATCGGATTTGGCCTGTGAAATCACTTCAGTGTATTTTTAATAGTTATTTACAGTTTTTCGCTTCCCCCAACTTCACAAATAAACAAGACTCATTTAGGCTTAGGGACGTAACAGTTTGCTTAGAAAAGATAATTAAATAAAATGTCACGGCAGAACGAATTAACTGACTGTTTGCCTTAGCCTAGTCTATGCCACACTCCATTTAACCACAATTTCCACACAAAACCTAACCAAATCGGCTTAACGTTGTGCTACTAACCTTTGTGGAAACTCCTACTTCCGTTTCCTGGGCCCACCAGTTGATTGAGCTTTTGGACGCTGATTTTTCCGCATACTGCGCTTGCGGTTCTCGTTTTTCCGCTCCGCGTTGTCCTCGTTGCGCTTTTTAATAAACTCCAGTCGCATGCGTGACTTGACAATCTGCTCGGGGCGCCGCATCTCCTTGTCGTTTCCGGTAAGACGTTTCTTAAGTTCCAGCTTTACGTTGTGCCGCGCATGGCGACTGACCGGATACCGCTGGGCGTGGCTCAGAGGCTTGGCGTTGTCATCGTCACTGCCTGCGTTTTCACGCTGAAGCTGGTCCTCAATCTTGGACTTCTCCTTCCATTCAGTATAACGACCCGTCTTAAACGAAGCAGGAATCCATGCACCGGACTCGGTCCGAATCTTGTTGGCTCGGGGATCCTGCACTGAGACCATCTTCTTCTTGATACGGTCCCACTTCTTAAGCCCTGGCTTGTGTTTTACGTCCTGGGCAGAATTGCGGTCTGACACAGAGAACTCGGCGTTCTGCGCCTGACGCTCAAAGGTGTTGATGGCCAGGCCATCCTCCGTATGCTTGTCCGCCGATTGATAAGGCACGTAGTGCTCCTCGTCCTTGCTGTTAATCTTGCGCTTCTTCCTCTTGGTCTTATCCTTGTAAAGTGCGTCCATGTTTTGGAGCCTCTTGGGCGCAACGACTTTATTGAATGTACTGCTAATGGCTTCCTCGTCGGCAGTTGGCATCCTGGCTAGGCTTGGACTTTGCTCCTCCGCCATTTTCTTCGCCTCGTCGATGTCCTCGTCTGCGCGCTGCTGCCTGAACTTTTGAATCACTTCCGCGTGCTGATTCCGTTTCTCCTTCATTACAATAAACTGAGTGGACTTTTGCGTGGTGTTAAGTTCAAAAACGGTCTGAAAGCCCCACAATCGATTAGAAAAGTGTTGACATAAATGCCATGATAAACTTACGCCACCTGGTCGGAAACTACGCATTTTGACCAGTATATCGTGCTTGTCCTCCTGCAACTTGCGCTCGTCTGCAGCCACCTTTGCCTGCGATTCTGTCAGTTGTCCATTAACTTCAGCAGCCTGAGCCAGTGCGGGAGCAGCTGTGAAGAAATCCTCCAGCGGTTTCAGCGCAAAGAACTTAATTTTCTTCACGCGCGCATTGGCATCAGTGGAGGCAACAGGTCGGGAACTCAAGTATTTTTTGTAAGCGTTTTCGCTGGTGCGCAATACTCCAGCCTGTAAACAGTTTTTAAATATTTCTCAAATTATTAGAAATCGACAGCAAACTATTAGATCTACTTACAATGTGGTGGCTCTTTTTAATATCCGTCACTGTGAGATGCTCCTCCTCGAGCAAATCTTGCGGAATGGTTCCCATTGCCGCGCTGTCGTTTATATTGAATGGCCTGTTTAAGAACAAGTGCAGATCCAGTAGATGGGCTGTGTCGTCTGTGGAAAATATAGAGTACGCGGTCCCTGTGCGACCTGCTCTTGCGCAACGACCCACCCGATGCACAAACAGCTTCGGTTTACCCGGAAAATGGAGGTTCACAACAAAGTCCAAGCTGGGAATGTCGATTCCGCGGGCGGCTACGTCTGTGACGATTAACACGGAAACCTTCTTGTTCACAAACTTGGCGGTGTTTATTTTTCGGGCAGCCGGGTCCAGGCTAGAGTAGACCGACGCATTAGAGATGCCAGCCTCGGTGAGGATGTACGAAATAAGTTCCACATGGTGCTGTGTGCCGGCAAACACCACGGTCTGCGACTCCACAGGGATAACGTACTTAAGGAGAACCACGAGAGCTGTGTAGCGGTCGTCCGGTCGGCAGTACAGAAACTTTAGAGCCAGTGCGTCCGGGAGCTTGGACTCGACGTCCAAACGAATTAGAACTGGGTCGTTCAGGCCTGCGCGGGCAAAGTCCACCAAGAGCTTCGGCAGAGTGGCCGAGAACATGACCATCTGACGGGAGGACGGCAGTCTGTGCAGCGTTTCGTTAAGCTGCTCGCCGAAGCCCATCTCGAAAAGTCTGTCGGCCTCATCGAACACCACGTACTCTGAAAACGAAAACATTAGTCCTTGTTTTTAGGTCTTGGAACTTTGATCTCACCTATGGAGTTCAGCTTTAAGTCCATTTCCACACACAAGTGGAGAAAACGGCCTGGCGTGGCTACAATGACGTCGGGGCAGGTGTGTATGGCCGAGAACTGCGAGTCCATGGAGTCGCCACCAAGAACCAGAATAGTCTTCAGCTCCATGAAGCGGCCCAGCTCCTTGATGAACTTGTACGTTTGCACCGCCAGCTCGCGTGTTGGGGACAATATAAGCGCACGGGCTCCCTTTGTGGGCTCGCGCCGCTGCAGCTTCTCGAAGAGGGGAATCAGGAAACAGGCCGTTTTGCCGGAGCCCGTCTTGGCCATGGCCACCACATCGCGGCCCTCCAAGATCAAGGGAATCGTCTTCCGCTGGATGGGAGTCGGCACCTTGTATCCCCGCTTCGTGATTCCCTTGATGAGCTCAAAGCCAAGACCCATCGACTGGAATCCTCCGCTCTTCTTCGATTTGGGCTTGGACTTGAGGATGTCGTCGCCTCCAGATCCGCCCACGCCCTCCAGCGACAAGAACCCGGGTATTTCATCTGCTGGCTTTTTGCCCTGGCAATTCGCACAACTATTAATATTAATCCGAAGCAACTTTACCGAATCTTACCATTTTTTTGTTTTGCCTAAACAAAACACGTGCAGATATCTTGTTTTTTTTTTCGGTATTTGTTTTTGTTTTACTTCGGGGTGATACTAAAAATACTAAAAATCCCTCTGAGCTGGGTTGACGAGAAAATGAGTCGACTGGAATTCTGTTTAAGCTCTGTTAAGCGCTAACAGCTGCATTGAGTGCTTTTCGTATGGCCGTTAACAGTGTGTAATGGAGTGGAATTTTAACAGTGCGCATGAATTGCAGTGGAATTTAAACAGGGCAGAAGGTTTTGGTTGTTTTCTCGGTATTTGTTTTTATTTTACTATTTTCGGGGTAATACTAAAAAATACTACAAATTGATCACGCACTCTGAGCTGACGAGAAAATGAGTCGATTTACGAAATGCACCTAACTGCAGCACTGCTTGCTTTTCAGTTTCAAATTTCAAATTTAAACTCTTAGTTTTTTTAAAAGATTTATTAAATTATGCAAAATCGGTTCTTAATAGTCAACTAAAAATGCATTTTAAGGTAGATAGCTAACTGTCCTAACCTGCAGTCAGCAGTTAGAATTTGTTGCAGTTACTTTTAACGTTTGTGTTAATACGGTTCTGATATAAAATGTTATGAAATCCTCCGCTTACTGAGCGGTTAACGAATGCACTTATCGGTATATGAATAACTTTTCCTTAAACGTACCTTAACGTATGTACAATAATCCTATCTTAGCTCTAGTTAACCGTCGTCCCCGAAATCCATGTCCGCCTCAGACTCTCGAACCAACACCATCTGCTCCAGGCGGTCGATGCGCCTCAGCATCTCCTCTTTCTCCCGCTGAAAGGAGTCTGCCCGCCGGCGCAGTTCTTCGTTTTGGCGCCGCAGCTCATGCAGCTGACGACAAATCTCGGAAGACGTTAGGATTGGCATCACGTTCGGAGATTTCGCCGAGGTCAGCTTTGTCGCACTAACAAATGGTTTGCCGGCTGTCACCCCGTTGTTCGTTGGCACCTGTCCAGATCCTGCCGAAAGTGAAGGACGCAGCTGTATCGTTTGCACGGTGCCTACTTGTCCCCTGAGCGAACTACTGGACGCGGGATGGTTCGCGGGCAGTGTAGGTAGGGCCACGGGTTCGTTCAGACCCTGGGACTCTTCTAATATGGTGGTGGGCTCCAAGGGTCTTTGCAGGGACGGGAGCTTTAGCTAGAAAAAAAGAAAACGGCAACTGTATTTTAGTTTTTTGTACATTTTCTGAGATAAAAACTAAATGCCCATTAGGGAAAGATATCTACAAAACTAGCCAAGTGAAGTGAGTACTACAAACCTGTCGAGCCTGCAGCTGGCGCATGTTGACTAGCTTGGTGCCATCGGGTAGCTGGCGTACCATTCCAGAGCTGTCGAGGGGAGAAAAATTGTATAGAAGTCGGCCGAAATTAATTAAACCACATACCTTGCCAACGATGCGGGTATTTTTTGTAGGGACTTTGTTTGATTGTCTGATCCGCAGAGCTTCTTGAAATCAGTCAACGAGATTATGCGTATATTCTGTAAATAATAAATAGATTTTACTGTAGAAATGTGCGAGAAAAAATACCAAAATAAATACCTTGTTCTTGGTAACCCCCGCTGGAGACGGAAGATCCTTTTGCTTAATGACATTCATGCGAATCTTCTGGGGAGGAGAGTTATTCACATTTGGGCGGAGGGCCACAACAGAGGGCCTTGCATTTCCATTTACTGGTTGCCTGCCGTTGACGCCCGCTTTCGTTTCATGCAGTAGCATGCGTCCACCTTCGGAGAGGACGAGCTGGCGTCCATTCTGCAACGCCGTGTTTAACATTTCCTTCGAGGCCTCGTCATCGTTTTCCTGCATCATGTCTGCTATTCCGTGCGTTTTGAGCATATTGAGCGCAGAGTTGCCCAGCACATTGGTATCTGCAAGGGGTAGTAGGTTTACATACTTATTAAGCATTCAAACTAGTTAACTCACGCCCTCGCAGGTTTTCCAAGACATCCATTCGTTCTTCAACTGACATTTCTCGGTCATCAAGGTTTTTAGCTATTTCTGGCTCATCCATTATTGAGTTAACAGCCTCACTGGTTTCTTTCTGCGAATAAATTTTGTAATATAGTATTGGCAATTGTTTACACATTTTCCGAGTCTAAAGTGCCGAATGTTAGAATTTTCAAAAATCTTGAGTATTATTTAGCAACCAAATACGGAACTTTTTGAAGTACATACTTTGCTCTTGTGCGTTAGTCGCTGAAGTTCGATAAGCGCAGCGCAGCCAATGGCAGCAAGAAATCGTACATTAGTAAATATGTATATGATTTAGCCACCAAAGTGTAACAACAACTTAATATTAACTAATTAACTAGCGAACTTACCTCAGTTTCCTCGTTAAACTTTTTACTGGCCTGCGCCTGCCGCGCCGCTTCGAGTTCTGCCAGCACGTCCGCCTGTTCTGTGTAGACCGCCAGTCCGATCGGCGTCTTGCCGAACTTGGAAACCAGGGCGACATCTGCTTGGCACTTGAGCAGCAGGCGCACAATGCCCTTGTGCCTCTTTTCAACGGCCCAGTGGAGCGGGGTCATGCGAAGCTGGCACAGGGAGAAAGACTGGTAATTTGGGCGCCAAGTGCTAAGCCACGTGCACATATCCTTACCATGTCGCGGGAGTTGACGCTGCACTTGAGAGCCAGCAGCAAGCTGACCACCCGCTCGTGCCCGTAGTAACACGCCAGGTGCAGTGGCGTCCGGTCCACCTTGGTCTTGGCGTCCATGTTGATCCCTCCCTGCAGGAGGATCTCGCAGATCTCCAGCTGGTTGTTCATGGCGGCGAAATGCAGCGCCGACATGCCGAGCCAGTCGGACGCAAAGGGCGCTCCATGTGCCAACGCCATCTTGACCCCGGACACATCGCTGTCCCTGGCGCACTGCAGAAGCTGCTTGCCCAAGTCAACGCATGTGGCGGGCCCCACAAGGTTGCCCTTTTTCTGCTGGACTTCTCCTTCGGTGCGCTGAAAGAGAGGCACCCTGGGTTAGCTTGGCCTGCGAGCAGCGCCACCGAGAAACTCACAATCTCGTAGTGCATCAAATTGGAGTTTTCCATGGGATAGACGTGACCATCTGCCCGGAGAGTAGCAACAACTTTGCTAGCGCCGTGACTGTGCATCTTAGCAGGCGAACACTTTCAGCAGCGAGTGGAGGACTCCAGTCTGCATAACTGCAATTTGTTTATTGAGCAAAAGCCAAATAAATGCTTAAATATAATGTTTACGTTTTCTTTCTATTGGAAAACAGGGATGGACAGCAATTGGCGATAGTTATCGATAAATGTAGGCAGGGTTAGCCGAGGCGCAAACCACACAGCTTATATTTTGTGTGCGCATATTTCCACGGTTCGTGTCTCCGCTAACACTGCTTGCATTTCAGTACGACCGTGCTCCCAAGCGGGGTTTTCCACCAAATGCTCAAAATTGCGCTTCCGTCATCGGCCAAAAACAGCCCCAAAAGCGCAAACTGGCGGCATTCTAAACGGGGCTCTTACCTTGATTCATTTTCGTGTGAAATTCGCTAGTGGTTGTTTCGTGATCTTCCGGCAAATGACTTCGATATAATTTTGTGAGAGAGCAGAAAAAGAAGTGCGTGGTAAACGGTTTTTTTTTTTTTAATTTTTTTTCTGTGTATTTGCGCGCGATTTCCTGGCATAAAGCAAAAAAAAACATTAACGAAAAACCAAACGCGACCTATTCGTCGAAAAATGCGCATACTCGCGGAAAATAACTTAAATATGGCTAAAATTGAATGCGGATCGAGTTTGGGTGAGTATTAACCAATCTATACTTAGCATAACAACTAGACTAATATATACATAAATATTACCCGATTTACCAATGAAATTACGCACACACATTTCCATGTATATAAAGCCCGCCTTTTTTTCCCCTCTTTGCGTTTCATTCGCTGGCATTTGTTCTTCTCTCAGAGCGCATAAAACGGTAAAGTGTTTTTTTCTTTTCCGACCGTTTTTTGTCAGAAGACTTTGATGTTTTATGCGGACGGACAGTGGGGCGGTTATAAATAGCTTAAATAAAAAAATTCATGGAAAATCCTTGCAACTAATAAAGGATGCGAAATAAATTTAAATATTTCATTTAAAATTTGTCAATATGTAACAAAAATATATCACAAAATATATCAAATATAGTGTATTCTTTTATAATTTAAGTGTGTAACAATGTTTTAATTTTGAAAATTGTTGTACACTTAAAACTTTGCCCACGCGTCCCACTGTACGAATGGCAGGGGAGGTACAGAGAGATAGATAATCGGGAGCGAGAAGAGAGATGGAATTGGCAGAGGAAAGAGAGGTACATAGATCATAAACTGCGACACGCATCGCAATTATTTTAGTGGGCGCGCGACACATGCATAATCTTGTCTAATACATATATACTTGCACACACAAATATTTCTGTATTCACACCGAGATTGCCCTGCAAATATGAACACACACATTCCCAAATACATACATAATACCCGCCTTTTTTGCTCGCTTTGGCATTTTATTCGCTAGTATTTGTGCGCATCAAACGGTAAATTGTTATTTTCTTTTACCACCGATTTCGTCAGAAGACTGCGGTTTTGAGTGGGAATCGGACAGTGGGGCGGTTATAAATAGCTTAAATAATGCGAAATAAATTTAAATATTTCATTTAAAATTTGTCAATATGTAACAAAAATATATCACAAATATAAATCTTGTCTGAACAGAGTAATGTATTCTTTTATAATTTAAGTGTTTAAAAACGTTTTTATTTTTTAAATTTTTGTACACTTAAAACTACCTATGCGTCCCACTGTACGAATGGCCGGGAGAAGTAAGAGATGGAGAATTGTTAAAGAACAGAAAAGTGGATCATAAACTGCGACACGCACCGCAATTGTTTTTGTGGGCGCGTTTACACATGCATGATCGCGTTTACACATGCATGATCGCGTTTAAATATAAACTTGTATACGTGAATATTTTTTGATTTATATTCGCGTCTGATTAGCTGTCTGTCATTCGTTGTGCTCTTAGATCAGACAATGGGCGGCAATGAATATGTTAACTCAAAATAAAAAAAAGGGGGGCTTATAACTGTAATTAAGTCGAGGCGACAATAAAATTTAGCGAACGCGTCCCACTGTATGATTCGCCGAAAGACGCAGAGAGAAATAGAGAATCGGTAACGACAAGAGAGAGGGAATTGAAAAAGGGATGATGACCATTTGCGACGTGCACTGCAATTATTTTTGTGGGTGGGGCTACACATATCACACAATGGACGGCAATGAATATATTTATTCAAACAATTGCCAGGTGGCCTTATGACTGTTATAAAGTTAAAGCGATAATAGGCAAATTATTTTTAGATGGGACCATTTTAAATTTTACTACATTATCTTTGCCACATTTTAAATTAAAATTTAATTTAAATATTTTTAAATTAAAATTTAATTTAAATATTTTTAAATTAAAATGTAATTTAAATATTTTTAAATTAAAATTTAATTTAAATATTTTTAAATTAAAATTTAATTTAAATAACTAAATTAAATTTAAATATTTTTAAATTAAAATTTAATTTAAATAACTAAATTAAATTTAAATATTTTTAAATTAAAATTTAATTTAAATATTTTTAAAATAAAATTTAATTTAAATATTTTTAAATTAAAAAAATTTAAATATTTTTAAAATAAAATTTAATTTAAATATTTTTAAATTAAAAAAATTTAAATATTTTTTTTAAAATAAAATTTAATTTAAATATTTTTAAATTAAAATGGTTACTACAAAAATGATATTATGAAAAATTGTTATTCATATAAAGGTTAGCGTACGCGTCCCACTGTATGAATCGCCGGGAGAAGTAGAGAGATATAGAGAATCTGTAGCGTCAAGAAGGGGGAATTGACAAAAAAATGATGACCAACTGCGACGTGCACAGCAATTATTTTTGTGGGAGTACACATAAATATTTCTTGATTCACCCTCTAATTGCCCAGAAAATATGAACACACATTTCCAAATAAATAAGGCCCGCTTGTGTTCTTCTTCTCGCGGTTCTTTTGCTGGCAATTTGTTTTTTCTAATTTTTTCATCAGCATTATTTGCTAGATTTCAGTGGTAATAGCAGTGTTGCGGTTACGGTTTTTTTCGTCGAAAAAAGCGCATATTCGCGGAAACTAACTTAAAAAGGGTAAAAATTAAAGCGGATCGAGTTTTGGGTGAGTATTAACAAATTTATATTAAGTAAATGCATCACAACTAGACTTATACATAAACTAAAACGAATTATATTCCAAGTACTCGCACATATATATTTCCTGATTTACCAATGAAATTGCGCACTTAGTACGCACACACATTCCCATTTGTATAAAGCCCGCCTTTTTTTCTCCTCTTTGCGTTTCATTCGCTGGCATTTGTTCTTCTCTCAGAGCGCATAAAACGGTAAAGTGTTTTTTTCTTTTCCGACCGTTTTTTGTCAGAAGACTTTGATGTTTTATGCGGACGGACAGTGGGGCGGTTATAAATAGCTTAAATAAAAAAATTCATGGAAAATCCTTGCAACTAATAAAGGATGCGAAATAAATTTAAATATTTCATTTAAAATTTGTCAATATGTAACAAAAATATATCACAAAATATATCAAATATAGTGTATTCTTTTATAATTTAAGTGTGTAACAATGTTTTAATTTTGAAAATTGTTGTACACTTAAAACTTTGCCCACGCGTCCCACTGTACGAATGGCAGGGAGAGGTACAGAGAGATAGATAATCGGGAGCGAGAAGAGAGATGGAATTGGCAGAGGAAAGAGAGGTACATAGATCATAAACTGCGACACGCATCGCAATTATTTTAGTGGGCGCGCGACACATGCATAATCTTGTCTAATACATATATACTTGCACACACAAATATTTCTGTATTGACACCGAGATTGCTCTGCAAATATGAACACACATTCCCAAATACATACATAATACCCGCCTTTTTTGCTCGCTTTGGCATTTTATTCGCTAGTATTTGCGCATCAAACGGTAAATTGCTTTTTCTTTTCCGACCAATTTCGTCAGAAGACTGCGGTTTTGAATGGTAATCGGACAGTGGGACAAAAGAGATTAGGTTATTCTACTAAAATTTAAGTGTTTACAAATTTTATAATTGGGAACGCGTCCCACTGTACAAGTCGTTGAGAGAGGTAGAGAAAAATGAGGAATCGGTAGAAGAGAGAGGGAATTTAGAGGAATGAGAGAGCGTCGGCGACTGCGACACGCAGCGCAATTAAATTTGTGGGCGCGTAGTAAGAGGTTGTGTCTCGGATCTTCGCTAATTTATTCAGTGTTTTAAAACAAGAAGAATTTTGAAGTTACCAAAACGAAATAACAACCAACACTGATCTGCGCGTTTTTTACACGCGTTGCATTTTTGTCGGTGTGTGTGCGCGCGAAAAAAGTTACGGGAAAACCAAAAGCTCAAATTAGCGGTTAACAGCCACAACAATGCATATTCGCGGCAATTAACTCCAAATTGAATGTTAAGTTGGAAAGGACCCAGTTTTGTGTAAATTTCCTATTTATTTTAGCGTTTTGAAACATTATAAAATTGAAAGATTACAGAGACTAAATTTCAACCTTAAGGAAAACTGCGCAGTTTCTATGCACATGGTGAACTTTGTTTTTTTTTTTTTTTTAATTTTTTTCGGTGAGTGTGCTTGCAAAAGCCTGGCATAACGTAAGAAGAACATTAACGGTAAACAACAACCGCGCAAAAGCGCATATTCGCGGCAACTAATTTTAAATTGGCTAATAAATTATAACGGATCATGTTTTGTGTGAGTATCATTAAATCTATACTAAGGAAAACGCCAAGTTAACAAAAACCCTCTGATATACAAACAGAAATCAAATTAAAAATTTAATTATTTTAAAAGTTATTTTACATATAAAGCTTAGCTACGCGTCCCACTGTACGAGATGGTTGGGAAAGGCACATACAGAACAAAAAAAACATCGTAAAATTAACCAAGTTAATTGTCAAACAGTCTCAACCACAAAAATTGTCAGTTCTACCAATCAAATAGCTACTGTCACAACAACAAATACACACAATTAGCAAAGAGACAATTAAATACAGTGGCGGACAAAAGTCTACATACGACCCCTCTTTTGGGAGTTTTCCCACTCCTTTAGCTTTTACAGAAAAAGTAATGATGCCATCTTGTTTTAAATGTTATTATTACTC